TTTAGGCCAGGGTTCGTCTTCGTGTGGACGGGGCCTAAGTGTATTTTTCCTTAATTTAAGAAGGTAAATAAGACGGTCTGTCAATTAAATAACTTGTTTTCCCTTTAAATAAGACAATTGTATATTATGCACTCAACATAAGATGATCAAGTTGCTCTTTTTCCTTTTTCTAAATGTAAATAATCTTAGCCCAATGGCAAATTGTCTTGTTTATGAGCTTAAAACAAGGGAAAAAATATATTTACTTCAGAGGTCATATTTTGCAGTTTGTAATGTGAATTTCAGATACCCTGCAGCTCTGTTAAAAGGTTGCATATGAGGAGCTTTTTTCCTGTCTGATAAAGATCAGTAAGGATCTGACTCTAAAGACACGCCTTCAGGCGTTTCCCATTTAGAAAATGGCAGGATAAATGAGGGCATCTGTCATAAATTATACTAATAACCCTGGAATCAGTTATTAGTGCTCAAACATTTTCACATGCTACAACAATTTACAAAAATTGAGTCTTATAGTTTTAAAATAAAGTGTTCAAAACGAATATATCTTAAGATGGGTAAATATTGGATTAAACCCCTTCACACTAAAAAGAATGCTGCTGCAGGTTCCACCCAACAGATTGAAGTATGAATGCTTTGCTATGAAGACCCTGTTTGGAGGAATGCCACCCCCCATGCTGCAAGCTTTACAGCCCTGCTGATGTTTGCACCCCTACCTTCCTCGACTGGGAGGTATTTCCGATGTATCTGGTCGGGCTACACCTACCCGCTTGGTGGAGGGGATTCTCAGGCAATCTTCTTCTGTGTTGAAGCCGCAGACCTGGCTGACCTCTGCAATGAAGTCGATGTACTCTTTATACTGAGACTTCTTACACTGGCGCCTCTGATACTTCCCGTAGAAGTCGAAGAAACAGCAGGGGAGGACAAAGAAACGACAGGAGTAAGATGACCTGCAGTTAGAGAAAGGAGGAAAAAAGGCAGCAGGTAGAAGAAAAGTGGTTTAGAAATGAGAGCTGTCTGAGATGGAGGCTCAACAGAGCCACCATGTGGCGGCATCAACGCTGATTTTCATAACACCTCCACACACCACAGTCTGTCCATCATATTAATCCCCCTCAAAAAAAAGAGAGATCAGCTGGCGCGTTTGAGATAGTGTGATTGTGTTTGCTGATGACTCGCCTGGCCGCTATGACGGGGATCCACGGCGTGAGCTCGTCCGAGTGGTTCCCAATCAGCCAGTCCGTCTCCGGGAATAAGAAGCTCTCGCTCGGAGTAATTGCCTTTTCCTAAAATAGCAAAAAGAGTTGCATATTGGTATGAATTAATTCATAATAGCTCACTGGAAACTATCAGAGAAGAAGTGTGGATTCTGACACTTTTCTGCTTTTTTTTATTTAATGAACATTCAGGGCATATCCCCCAAAACACCTCGGTGGGCGCATCACATAATCAGTGATTTGGAAAAATAAATTGTAGTGAGTGGCAGAGAGCGCATGCAGCAGCTCTCCCTGAACATGGTTTCGTGTTTATATTATATTTGAAATCAGCAGCATGACAGATTCTAAAACTGCTATTTTATTTGAGGTTCTTTGAAGAAATCTATGCAAATTTGACAAATGAAAACCTGAGGAATTTTTATTATTATAAACACCTTTTATACCGGCAACAGCTTATCTATTGGTTCATCTATATCATTTTTTTTTTTATTATTAATTCGAAGCCTGTTTTTAAAATTATTGTGACTTATTATTTATGATTATTGTGAGCAGGATTGTTACCACTTTTATCCCTTAAAAAAAAAAAA